TGTACAGTCTAGACTATAGACTAGTCTCTAATCAATACTATGAACTAGACTACAGTCTAGACTATAGTGAATGAAAATTTTCTATATAAAATTTCTCATTTAAATTACATTTTCATTTCACTATTTATTAACAGCCTAAACATTTTTATTTACAAAAAAAAAACTAAAATGCTTTTTCCTCATTTTTTTAAAAAACTACTTGCCCACAAGGACAATTGTAATGTTCATTTTCCTACTAAATCCTTGTAAGAACCTCTTGAAGCGAGATATACGATGCCTCATAAATGTATGAAACAAACGATTCTAATGCCAACAAAACACACACAATAACAAAGTACTCATATTTTATGAACTGTATTTAAATTTAGGCTGTAACTGTGGATGTATTCACAAAAAACTGAAAGGCACTTGGAAAAACAAATTTTACTAAAATTCAAAAGAATAACCGCAAACGACAACATCTATACAAAACTATCCACTACACCTACATTTAAAACTTAAAGGCCCCCAAAATGAAAAAAAACAATAAAACTATACTTCAAATTGGCAAAAAAGAATCTATTGTGTAATTGAAAACTACTTGATAGAATCCAAAATAACTGAACAATGTTTGAGCAACACAATGTAATGAATGGAAGATTCATGTGGTTAAAACAAGTAAAAAACTAGTCAATAAATAAATTCGAAAATTTAACACCTTCCCATGACATTATAAACGACAACAGATATTACACAGAGCAGATGGAATACACATCATAAATATTTAAATAAATAGGGGCGCTCAACTATGGAGGAACCTCTATATAAAATTTCACACATCAAAAGTTACATTTTCTAACCGTATATTGTCATAACGTGCTAATAGTTTTTCTATAGAAAAATTCTTTTGTTCAGTTCTAGCGTAGTTCTAGTTTAGTTCTAGTTCAGTTCTAGGTCAGTTCTAGTTCAGTTCTAGTTCAGTTCTAGTTCAGTTCTAGTTCAGTTCTAGTTCAGTTCTAGTTCAGTTCTAGTTCAGTTCTAGTTCAGTTCTAGTTCAGTTCTAGTTCAGTTCTAGTTCAGTTCTAGTTCAGTTCTAGTTCAGTTCTAGTTCAGTTCTAGTTCAGTTCTAGTTCAGTTCTAGTTCAGTTCTAGTTCAGTTCTAGTTCAGTTCTAGTTCAGTTCTAGTTCAGTTCTAGTTCAGTTCTAGTTCAGTTCTAGTTCAGTTCTAGTTCAGTTCTAGTTCAGTTCTAGTTCAGTTCTAGTTCAGTTCTAGTTTAGTTCTAGTTCAGTTCTAGTTCAGTTCTAGTTCAGTTCTAGTTCAGTTCTAGTTCAGTTCTAGTTCAGTTCTAGTTCAGTTCTAGTTCAGTTCTAGTTCAGTTCTAGTTCAGTTCTAGTTCAGTTCTAGTTCTAGTTCAGTTCTAGTTCAGTTCTAGTTCAGTTCTAGTTCAGTTCTAGTAGTTCAGTTCTAGTTCAGTTCTAGTTCAGTTCTAGTTCAGTTCTAGTTCAGTTCTAGTTCAGTTCTAGTTCAGTTCTAGTTCAGTTCTAGTTCAGTTCTAGTTCAGTTCTAGTTCAATTCTAGTTCAATTCTAGTTCAGTTCAGTTCTAGTTCAGTTCTAGTTCAGTTCTAGTTCAGTTCTAGTTCAGTTCTACTTCAGTTCTAGTTCAGTTCTAGTTCAGTTCTAGTTCAGTTCTAGTTCAGTTCTAGTTCAGTTCTAGTTCAGTTCTAGTTCAGTTCTAGTTCAGTTCTAGTTCAGTTCTAGTTCAGTTCTAGTTCAGTTCTAGTTCAGTTCTAGTTCAGTTCTAGTTCAGTTCTAGTTCAGTTCTAGTTCAGTTCTAGTTCAGTTCTAGTTCAGTTCTAGTTCAGTTCTAGTTCAGTTCTAGTTCAGTTCTAGTTCAGTTCTAGTTCAGTTCTAGTTCAGTTCTAGTTCAGTTCTAGTTCAGTTCTAGTTCAGTTCTAGTTCAGTTCTAGTTCAGTTCTAGTTCAGTTCTAGTTCAGTTCTAGTTCAGTTCTAGTTCAGTTCTAGTTCAGTTCTAGTTCAGTTCTAGTTCAGTTCTAGTTCAGTTCTAGTTCAGTTCTAGTTCAGTTCTAGTTCAGTTCTAGTTCAGTTCTAGTTCAGTTCTAGTTCAGTTCTAGTTCAGTTCTAGTTCAGTTCTAGTTCAGTTCTAGTTCAGTTCTAGTTCAGTTCTAGTTCAGTTCTAGTTCAGTTCTAGTTCAGTTCTAGTTCAGTTCTAGTTCAGTTCTAGTTCAGTTCTAGTTCAGTTCTAGTTCAGTTCTAGTTCAGTTCTAGTTCAGTTCTAGTTCAGTTCTAGTTCAGTTCTAGTTCAGTTCTAGTTCAGTTCTAGTTCAGTTCTAGTTCAGTTCTAGTTCAGTTCTAGTTCAGTTCTAGTTCAGTTCTAGTTCAGTTCTAGTTCAGTTCTAGTTCAGTTCTAGTTCAGTTCTAGTTCAGTTCTAGTTCAGTTCTAGTTCAGTTCTAGTTCAGTTCTAGTTCAGTTCTAGTTCAGTTCTAGTTCAGTTCTAGTTCAGTTCTAGTTCAGTTTAGTTCAGTTCTAGTTCAGTTCTAGTTCAGTTCTAGTTCAGTTCTAGTTCAGTTCTAGTTCAGTTCTAGTTCAGTTCTAGTTTAGTTCTAGTTCAGTTCTAGTTCAGTTCTAGTTCAGTTCTAGTTCAGTTCTAGTTCAGTTCTAGTTCAGTTCTAGTTCAGTTCTAGTTCAGTTCTAGTTCAGTTCTAGTTCAGTTCTAGTTCAGTTCTAGACTATAGACTAGATTATACACTAGACTATAGACTAGACTATAGACTAGACTATAGACTAGACTATAGACTAGACTATAGACTAGACTATAGACTCGACTATAGACTAGACTATAGACTAGACTATAGACTAGACTATAGACTAGACTATAGACTAGACTATAGACTAGACTATAGACTAGACTATAGACTAGACTATAGACTAGACTATAGACTAGACTATAGACTAGACTATAGATTAGACTATAGACTAGACTATAGACTTAAGATTAGACAAATAGGAAAGTATAGTTGGGCATGGCCGAACATATAATACTCTACACCATGAGTATATTTTAAAAATTTTTATTTTTCACAAAGAAACTTTTATATTGAATTTTACGTTAATTCCAAAGTATTTAAGCAATTTATTGATAAAAAACAAATTTTGTAAATGAGGCTTTATATAGGAGTATAGGTCAAACATGGGCCGATCCTCATTAAATTTGGGAAAAGTATGTATTTTTAAATAATAGTTAATTATGTTGAGTTTCATTGCGATACAAATGGTAACAAGTCAATTTTAGACGTTTAAGACATTTTTGAAGGGGGGTTTGTATGGGGGCTAGGGTCAAATAAGGGCCGATCATTACGAAAATCTGCGGTGTCATTTATACTTATATAAAACTTATTTGTGCCAATTTTTAGAGAGATAATAGTATATTTGACGTAATTATGGCATAAAAAACCCAAATCGGGAGATACTGTTGTATGGGGGCTAGGTGAAATAATGGACCGATTTCAACCATTTTCAATAGGATTCGTCCTTGTGCCAAAAAACAAGCTTGGTCCAAATTTCATGAAATTATCTTGTACCTTGCGCACAAGGTTTACATGGACAGCCAGCCAGCCCGACAGACGGACGGACGGACATGTCTTAATCGACTCAAAATCTGATTCGATCGGTATACTTAAAGGTGGGTGTAGGACCAATATTTTGTGTGTTACAAACATCAGCACAAACGTATAATACCCTCCCCACTATAGTGGTGTAGGGTATAACTATAGATAGACTAGACTATTGATACCAAATAATTTTTATAGATTTGTTTTAAATATATAGGTATTAAAATGTATTTAAACTATTATTTGTTCATATGGATCAAATATTGTACTATTATAATATGCGGTATATTATAATAGTACAATATTTGATTACAATGATATAAAACCGACAAAGTACAATAAACCTGAAACAAATTGTTTCCAGTAAATAAACAGCAAAACCAACATATGTTAAGTTTGATAATACAAATAGAATAAATATAATTAACTAGAGAAAAACCTATTGTCAACGTTCACTTGTGTTATAACTCGCACTTGTTCAAAGCCTACACAAAATTAACAAATAACATGAAGTGTGAAATACTTCTAAAATCAATCTCTCCGCAACCCTTTTTTTAACACCTTTACCCCACTATTACTATTTTTTGCTTAAACTAAAGCAAAAAAAAAATTCCGTTATATTTTTTTATTACTATTTAATGCAATTACTTATGTAGTTGTTTACACGTTTGGGTGTATATGGATGTGGGTAACTAAACTAATAATGGGTCGTCAACCTGACCGAGCGGTTGTTGTCATTGTTTTTGTTGTTGTTGCTGCTGTTACTGTGAGTTAATGTCAACTTGTATTAAAACAACGTAATCATCATCATCATTCACTCACTTGTACTATTTTCATATTAAGTTCCTTTTACACATACACACACACATGCTAACAAATATAAAAAGAGCAACTTAACTGCAGTTAGACATGAAATTTAATAATAGAACAACAATAAACAAACCAACAATTTTGCTCTATTTACGAATTTGATAGAGAGCATAAACTTAAAAAGCATTTATTGAGAGAAAATAACAGTACAAACACCACCCTTTCAACATCCACACACACAAACACAAGGGTTGTTTATAAAGTTTTCCTTGATTTTTCACTTGCACTTCCGGAATTTTATTTCTTCCTTTTTTCTCTCAGTTTTAAACAAAAATTTCTTTTTTTAACGAGTATATACAGATAAGAAACTTTAGTTATGGGATTTTTTTCACCAAATAATTTATTCAAAAACATGTTTTTCTATTTAAATTTTAACACTTGTATTGACATGCAAAACACATTTTTATTTAACCGGCTCCATTTGATTATTATTTATTTATGCAAATATTTAGCTGGAAAAAAAATAATTTAAAGAACCAACCCAGTTTTATTTATAAATTCTATTAAACTTTTAATTACTTTTGATTTGTTGGTATACCGGTATTCCCAAATATTTATTTTATTATTATATAGTTTCTTTTTCTTATTTTATTTCCACTCTCTTCCAAACTACATGTAGTCACCACCGCTGCCCAGAAGCAACTGATTCTATCGCTGCATAAATATTAAACATTTAGCCAGCCAGCCAGTTAGCAGCAGCAGCTCTTTAGCAATTCTTTCGATGTTGCTCTCCAAAGTATTGTTTAAAAAAAAAACTCCAATATATGGGGGTATGTGGTTGATACTCGAGTACGTTATGCTCAATACACATTAACATATGTTTTTTAACCGCTTTTTGTTAGGTTGGTAAAGCACGTGAGTTTGAATAACAAACAAGAAAAGCTTTCACTACCCAAATACCCTTAAACTAGAGTTTTATACATGTGTCGAAGGGAATAATATGGAAATGAAATACTGGACTTGTGGAAGTAGAAACAAGAGCTTTTAGAAAAGCTTTACACAAGCGTTATTTTGAATGTGGTTATTTTATTATGAGAATAATTCTTTTATGGAAAATATCTTTTGAAATGAAATGATTTTCTATAGAAAATTTTTACTAGAATGAGAAGAATTTTGTCCAAAATTGTTGTTCAAGTTCAGTGTTAGTTCAGTTCTAGTTCAATTCTAGTTCAGTTCTAGTTCTGTTTCAGTTCAGTTCTAGTTCAGTTCTAGTTCAGTTCTAGTTCAGTTCTAGTTCAGTTCTAGTTCAGTTCTAGTTCAGATCTAGTTCAGTTCTAGTTCAGTTCTAGTTCAGTTCTAGTTCAGTTCTAGTTCAGTTCTAGTTCAGTTCTAGTTCAGTTCTAGTTCAGTTCTAGTTCAGTTCTAGTTCAGTTCTAGTTCAGTTCTAGTTCAGTTCTAGTTCAGTTCTAGTTCAGTTCTAGTTCAGTTCTAGTTCAGTTCTAGTTCAGTTCTAGTTCAGTTCTAGTTCAGTTCTAGTTCAGTTCTAGTTCAGTTCTAGTTCAGTTCTAC